GGGGGGGGGGGGTAGAGAAGGTAACAACAGAGTTACATTGTAGCAGATAATTTTGTGTACTACGTTTAAGTCCAACCGTAGGCGGCATAGTTCAAGGTTGTCCAAGCCCAAAATTTCAAGCCTGGTGATGTAGGGTATTCTGTTGCGAGTAGAGGAGTGGAGGACTCTTCCCGCGAAATACTTCTGGACTCTATGCCCTAGTTAGCAATTCAATATTACTGGAGGAGAAGATTTGTAAGATTAGATTTACAACTCTTAATTCTTAATACTGGGAGTTGAAGTCCACATGTCTTAAAGTGGCCGAGTTTGTGTAACACTATAAGACCCTGATAATATTTCAACTTGATTTAAATGTCCCGTTTCATTAAAAAAACACATTTTTTAGCCCATTTTGGATAATTTACTCAGGTTTGGTAAGCCCTGATCTGTAGACGTCAATTCCCAGAAGTCTTCAACCAGCAAGGCCGCTGCTAAGAATTCTGGGATTTAAAGTGGCGTTGTCCTGTCCCCTTTGGGTTTTTTGAGCATTATAATTCTTCTATTAATCCATCATGTTTACAGGTTGGGTGGGCCTTGGGCATCACCAAGTCCAATTAGGTCCACCACCAAGTCCAACCATCTTCAACATCAACATCCGCCATCACCAACATCAAGTCAACTTCCTCTCCAGTAAAATTCATCATGACAGCATCGCTATAAAGGAGAATATATGTAGCTCGGGTTGAGATGAAGGGTCCTTAGTGCTCCCTGACCTTGCTGGTTTTCTTGCACACGTTTCATGACCAAACTAGGTAACATCATCAGTATCCCTGCCAGTTGGCCATCCAACCGCTTAAACACTTCAGGGCCAACTTTTTTCTGACTTGCAATCAACATCTACTCTATTCTGCTCTGCCTGTGGGCGATAGCTTGTTAATTCTGGTGGCCTCCTTCTACCCAATATCTTCCCTTAAGCTTTCAAGAAGAGATTGGACTGGCATTTGTCAGAAATGGTGTAGTCGGGTCTCCTGCTTGGGCGAGGGGTTGGACTAGATGACCTACAAGGTCCCTTCCAACTCTGTTAATCTGTTAAAAGGGATTTTGGGGGGGGGGGTTCCTGGAGACTGTGCCCACTGCCAGCATTACCCTCACCTTCCTGTAGGTCGGGCAAAGAACATCTACAGGTAGTCCTTTACTTATGACAATTGAGTCCAAAGTTTCTGTGGCTAAACGAGACACCTGTTCAGTGAGTTTTTGTTCCTGAGGGTAGAACAAGAAGCAACACATGGAATATAATAAAGGAGAGAAGCAACTTAGAAGTAAGGAGGAATTTCCTGACAGTGAGGACAATTAACCAGTGGAACTGCTCGCCACCAGAAGTGGTGGATGCTCCATCACTGGAGGCCTTTAAGAAGAGATTGGAGCCACTTGTCTGAAATGGTGTAGGGTTTCCTGCCTAGGCAGGGGGTTGGACTAGAAGACCTCCGAAGTCCCTTCCAACTCTGTCATTCTATTCTAGTGTTCCGTTTTACGACCTTTCTTGCCACAGCTGTCAAGTGAATTGCTGCAGTTGTTAAGTTAGCCATTCAGTTGTTCAGTGAATCTGGCTTCCCCATTGACTTTGCTTGTCGGACAGTGGCCAAAAGGGCTCACGTGACCCCGAGGGACACGGCGACTGTCATAAAGATGAACCAGTTGACCGGCATCCAAATTTGGATCATGGGACCACAGGGCTGCTGCAAAAGTCATAACCGTGAAAAATGGTCCTAAGTCAGGGTTTTCCCCCCCGGTGCTGTTATAGCTTTGAACCGTTACTAAATGGATGGTTGCAAACCCAGGACTACCTGTATACAACGCAGAGGTCTGGAAATCAGGTAGCAGGCCATGCCTGTATCCTTCAAGATCAAGAAAGTGAGCCCACACGCAAGCATTCGTCCCCATCATCGGCGTGTCTCTAAAGGTCACTTGGTCATTTAGGCCTTTAGAGCAGGGCTCTTCAAACTTGACAGCTTGAAGGCGCGTGGACTTCAACTCCCAGAATTCCTCCTCCAGTCATGTTAGTTCAGGAATTCTGGGAGTTGGAAGCCCACCAGCCTTCAACTGTAGAGCTTTAGAGCGAGGGTCTCCAGCCTTGGCCCCTTTAAGATTCATGGACTTCCGAGTCCGAGTATTATAGGATTTGGGGGAAATGGTATGACTGGATTGAGCTAAGATAGATGGAGGATGAAAAATTAATGATAAGCAATATATACCCGACTCTGTAGTTTCTTCCCCAAACCCCAAAAACTTTAACCTTAGACTGTCTACTATTGACCTCACCCCTTTCCTAAGAGGTCTGTAGGGGGTGTGCATAAGCGCACCAACGTGCCTACCGTCCCTGTCCTATTGTTTCTCTTATTCTTTTATTTTTCTTATATGTACCCATTTCATGTATTCATAACTATGTATACACTTATACTTATTATCTTGTAAACAATTGGCAAATCAAATAAATAAATAAATAAATAAATAAATATAGGTTAAATGCTTACATTCGCATAAATTGTATATATTTGTAAATCATGCACAAAATAAGAGTATAAGATGAATGCCACACACTGTTCATGTTGAGATATTTACATTTTTTGTTTGTTTTTAAAGTCATAAAAGATTGATAAAGTTTATTAAAAAAAAAAATGTGGACTTCAACTCCTAGAATTCCCCAGCCAGCAAGGCTGGCTGGGGAATTCTGGGAGTTGAAGTCCACAAAAGGTTGGATACCTTTGCTCTAAAATCCTAAAGGACCAACTGTTCCTCTCTTGGGGCCCTGATCCAGCCCTAAAGGAAACCCTCA